CAGACGATCTCAGCTAGGGTTTATAAGAAGAGAGATTAATGTGAAGGTAACTTGTGCCCTAGCCATAAGGGGTTTGTTTTATAGACTAAAGTAAACACCTTGAATTTCAAGTTGCAAGCACAAGGGGAGCCAAAAGATTCCAGAGCAGTGGCGTCATATTCTGCCTGTGACTCACACATCTCAGCGGCTGAGCTTTCTCTCGCAGCTGCAGCTTCCAGCTGGCCATCACATACAGCCTTAGGTAGTCACACACTGCAGTCACCTGATTTGAGATGACCAAACAAGCACATAATTGCAACACAGTCCAGTTATGAATGAAGGCTGGTCTATCTGTTTGCCAAACTCAGATGAAAAGTAAATGTTAAGTCGTGGCTGTTTTCTGAAATCCCAGCAGTTGCAGCAGTCGAATGGACTAAGAGTAGAGAACCCTGCTGGAAAGTTTAGCCCTGGTCTCTTTCTCTCCGACTTGTGATCCTCTCCACTAATGGCATGGGCATTTCTTAGTCATTTTGGTGTCCACCAGACCAGATACAATTTTTGGCTTATAGGTGGTACAGTACATGTTTCATGAAAGAATATGAGGTCATACAGATTTTCCAACTTGCAAATCACTTCAGATGTTCTCTTCAATTCTGTATCGCAGTGTTGTATATAAATGAGCCCTCAGTAAATGCAGTTGGCATTGTGCATTATTCATTTTTGCCACTAACAAACGCTTGAGTGAAGCTGCTTAGGAAGGAGGAAGGCTTATTATTTTTGCCCATGGTTTCGGAGGTTCACTGTCCAAGGGTAGGCAGTCCCATTGGTCTGCCCTCTGATAAGGGTGAGGGATGACTGAAGGTGAGCAAAAGACAGATCACATGGTGAACCAGGAAACAGTTAACAAGCAGAGAATTTTCGAGCTTACTCATTGTTTATATCTAGACCCCCCTCCCCCTGCAAAAGGCACCATGAATCAATCACCTGAGCTACACACATGATCCCCAACCTAATTCAATTTAATCACTCCTGCCTTCTAGACACCTTGATTGGATCAAGTCTCCACCCTATTAATGCCATCAGTATATAACTTTTGGACTTAAACACCTGCATGTGTTGGGGAGCTAAGTCATTTTTAAACCATAGCACACATGTCAGTGTAGATTTTAAGAATTTCATTATCACATTTTAACATTGTGGAGGATGAAAGACTTTTAAGAAATTTTTATCAGATTTTGCTGTCTTTTGTCTTTAAATTATTTCTGTAAAAAGGAGGAAGGAAAGAATTAAAAAAGAAAGGAAGGAAGGAAAGTAGGAAGGAATGAAGGAAGCATGGGAAGAAAGAAAGAAAGGGGAAAACATCCTGATAAGGAACATAATTATCTTTTTTTTCAGGTTAGAGAATTGGAAAATTGCCAGCTTATTATAACCATGTTGCTTTCTTGAAACATGCTCAAAAGTTCAGAAGTTCATTTGCTTTATTCATTAAATATGTTCTTCTTGTAACTATCACAATAGGTGATATATAACATTCTACTTATTCCAAGACTGTCGTGGTGGTACTGGGAGTTCTGATGGTATACGCAGGAAAGATGTAATCTTAGGCTGACCTATTTGAAAGAAAGGATTAGAAATGTGGGGAAAGGACTTTCATCTAGTACCACAAAGAAAAACCGCTAAGCACAATTCTTCCTTCCTGTGTCCTCCAAGAATGAATTATCTCTGAGTATCCTCTTCTCTCACTCCTGTATTATCTGCTGGAATCATTGTCTTACGTGATGTTAGAGATTATATTGATGATAGAGCTGTAACTCATTGGAAACTGAGTACAACTTCCTGGGGACAATGATTATCCAATGACAGCCACAGCAAGGATTAAGAAACATTGCTAGAGAGAATTCTTACTCTCACAGGCAGGTGCAAAGAAGGCAAGAGAGTTGTGTAATGATTATATTCAGTACAAGACATAGTGAAGTTAATAAATCTGAATTGTGAGGCCACAGGTATAGTGTATGATAGATATTATTTGGTAGAGTGTTAAGTAGGGGATAAATAATCAACCTTTTAATAAAAGATAATGCTGTTCCCATAGAATCATCTGATTTATAATAATGACAACATGTATGTAATGATTACTTTGTACCAGGCACTGTTGACATTCTGTAAATGTTGCATTAATTAGCTTTTGCCACATGGCAAACTACCCTAAAACTTAATGGCTTAAAACAAAAAACAGGGGCCAGCGCTGTGGCTCACTTGATTAGTCTTCCGCCTGCAGCGCTGGCATCCCACATGGGCGCCGGGTTCTAGTCCTGGTTGCTCCTCTTCCAGTCCAGCTCTCTGCTGTGGCCCAGGAGGGCAGTGGAGGATGGGCCAAGTGTTTGGGCTCCTGTACCCACATGGGAGACCAGGAAGAAGCACCTGGCTCCTGGCTTCGGATTGGCACAGTGTGCTGGCCATAGCGGCCATTTTGAGGGGTGAACTAGTGGAAGGAAGACCTTTCTCTCTGTCTCTGTCTCTCTCTCTCTCTCCCTCTCTCCCTCATTGTCCTTGACTCTACCTGTCAAATTAAAAAAAAAAAAACATTTCTTGCAATTTTTTTTGAAAGATTTATTTATTTATTCGAAAGAGGTACGGAGAGGGAGAGACACAGAGAGAGATCTTCCATCAACTGATTCATTCCCCAGATGGACATAATGGCCAGGGCTGGGCCAGGCAAAACACAGGAACCAGGTGCTTCATCTGGGTCTCCCACATGGGTTCAGGGACCCAAGTACTTGGGCCATCTTCCACTGCCTTCCTAGGCACATTAGCAGGGAGCTAGATCCAAAGTGGAGCAGCCAGGAATTGAACTGGCATCCCCGTATGGGATGCCCGCAATGCAGGAGTTGGCTTAACCTGCTATGCCACAACGTCAGCCCCATTTCTCAGAATTCTGATGGTCAGTTGAGTGGTATTGAGCAATACTAGTCTATACTAGTTTGGCTGATTTCTGCTGGGCTCTCTGTCTCATCTGAAGTAACAACTTATTTGGGGCTAGATGGCCTAGGATGGCCTCACTCACATGTGTGGCATTGTGTAGATGCTGGCTGGTGCTACGGGGATGACTGAGTCACATGTCTGATCATCCAGGAAGCTAACCAATGCATTTTCACCTGGCAGCTGAGTTACAGAAGTAGTAAGCGAGAAATCCCAGTGTGCATTTCTTTACAGCTCTCTTCTTGTGTTTTGTTTGCTAATGTGTTAGTTAGGATTCTCTCAAAAGAAGTAGCAAAAGCAGCATTAGACATGTGAGAGATTCACTGCCACAATGCCAGTGGGCTAAAAATGGGTAGGGAACCAGAAGCAGCTGGAGAGTGTTTCTGTAGTTCTGACTTCAGGAAATAAAGAGGGTAGGAAAGCAGCATTGGGTATGCAGACTCTCCAACTACAGTTCTAAGAAGAGTTTGGCCAGGCCAATGGGAAGTCCTCAAGTCAAAGTCACCACAAGATTTGTTAATCTTCTTTAGTTATAATATCCCATTTGGCACAGCAGCTGCAATTGGAACTAATATTTGATTAAGCTGGTAGCGGTCAACAATCCCTTTGTTGATGGATAGGGGAATTATCACAATGTATACTTGCCCCCAAAGAGCAGCAGTGTTCAGTCTCAGGAATCCAACTATCTCTGTTGTGGGTAGACTCTTGATCTGCAGCTGGCTCAGATATGGGAACAGAGCAAGGGGTCGTGGCTCTTTTTTGGGTGACTGCCCTCTATCTCCTGCTCTTCCATTCCTCTTTTTTGTTTGTAGATTACACAGTATCCTTACTCTGTTCCTAGGGATGCCATGTTTTTTCCATTATATCTGCAGCTATCTGCACATCTAGCCCTCTGGATTGCCTGTCTGATTTTGCCACTCATTATAATTGTACCCCTCCTGCTTTTGGTAATTACACAGTGAAAATTGGCTATTATTTCTGGACCCATTATTCCCATAGATATTAATGACCCAGTTCTGTGACTAGCCTTGGGCTGCAGACGAGAGCTGCCACTGAACTTCTTGATAATGTTGGTTTCCTCTTCCCTCTGCATTCCTGATGGCTTTGGTGAGATGTGAGGAGTCATTCAAGTGTCAATACACATGGGCTATAGGTAGCCTAGTGTTTGCTTTCCTCTTGTTTTTGGAGTTTACGTTTTGGCAACACTTCTTTAAGAATCTGTTTTTACTTTACTTGAAAAGCAGGAAAGAGAGGTGGGGTCAGGGAGAAAGACCGTCTGTCTCTCTCAATTTGGCAACTAGTTTACTCTGCCTACTAGTTACTCCCCAAATGCTCACAACAGTCGGAACTGGGCCAGGCTGAAGCCAGAAGCCTGGAATCTAATGTGGGTCTCTCAGTGGCCCTTGAGCCATTACTGGCTTCTTTTCAAGTGGAAAGTTGGAACAGAAGTAGAACTAGAACTTGAACCAGGAGCTCTAATATGGGATGTGGCATCCTAAGTAGTGTCTATGTCTAGGATATGATAAGCATTGTGTTAGAATTAGCTGGTATTATTGTTTTTTTTTTTTACATCATCATCCATTAAGTACATTTAAAATAGTTTAAGATCTACAACATGTGTATAATATCAGACATACACCAGGAATACAATATATATTTCCTGGTAAATAAATAATATGCTCATTTAGAATCTTTATATTTACTCCTTTAGAGTAATAGGGGAAATGGTCCCAATGACATTCTAAACATAATACAAAGAACTAAATGCTGTAATCTTGTGTTGCTCAGGATTTGCTAAGGGAGTCTGAAAAATGTCTCCTGCTAGAATTTACCGTATCTCATCTGTATTCAAGAAGGGGATGTTTTAAATTCCTCCCCCTGCCACCTTTTGTGGAATGAAGCAAACTATACAGATCAAATTAGTACTTTGTCCTTAAGTGTATACCATTTTCTGTGTGGTAGAATAAGAATGTACTTGCCACAAAAATGTTCTCATCTGAATTCAGGTGAGCTGTTAACGCTTTACTTGTCTTTGCAAACAGGTTCATCCAAAATTCCACTATAAGCAAGCTCATGACCCAGGCACAGACACTTCCTGCGTGGCTTTTTCCTATGATGGTAATGTCCTTGCCTCTCGCGGAGGTAGGTCGAAACTCTTAGTGATGTGTTGCTTTATATAAAAGGATGATACGTAACACTACCAAATGTCATGTGAGTGTCATAGCACTTTGTAGAGCTAGATGTGCTCTTGTTCGTGTACATTGGCCAGTCTCATTTTTTCATTAAAGTGCATTTCCAATTTGATAGCATTGTTTGTATTAAAAGTGGATCAAGGGGACAGGCATTTGGCATAATGGTTAAGTTGCTGGTTGGGACACCTGCATCCCTCATTAGAGTACCTGGTTCCATCCCCATCTGTGGTTCTTGACTCCAGCTTCCTGCTAATGCAGACCCTGGGAGGCAGCAGTGATGGCTCAGTTAGTTGAGTTCCTGCCACCCACATAGGAGACTCACCCACATGAGTTCCTGCCACTCACACATTCTGAAGCCAGAAACTCAATTCGTACTTCAGCCTGGCCCAGGATGAGCATTTGGGGAGTTACTAGTGGGTAGAAGCTCACACTCTCTCTCTCTCTCTGTCTCTCTCTTCCACCCCTCCATTTGTCTGTATGTCTTTCTTCCTCTTAAATAAATACAGTATATAATAATATTAATTTTTAGACGTTATCAGGCCGGTGCTGTGGTGCAGCAGCTTAATGCCCTGGCCTGAGGTGCCAGCATCCCATGTGGGCACCGGTTCAAGACCCGGCTACTCCACTTCCCATCCAGCTCTCTGCTGTGGCCTGGGAAAGCAGTGGGAGATGGTCCAGGTCCTTGGGTCCCTGCACCCATGTGGGAGACCCGGGGGGAAGCTCCTGGCTCCTGGCTTCAGATCAGTGCAGCTCTGGCCGTTGTGGCCAGTTGGGGAATGAGCCATCAGTTGGAAGATTCTCTCTCTCTCTCTCTCTCTCTGCCTCTCCTCTCTCTGTGTAACTCTGACTTTCAAATAAATAAATAAGTAAATCTTTAAAGAAAATGAAGCTATCAAGTAAATTTAGAAAATATGTACTGTTTATTGCCCAAGTTTTGTTTCAGCTTCAAATTTTCTAAATGTTCATAAGCCTCAGAGCATGACCTTTGCTTCTACCTCAGGAATTTTGTACATTCTTCGCATCTTGTTTTTTCCCCCCATCCTGTCTTATAATTCTGAGACTGGTATTTCGATCTTCTCTTTGTTGACTATTCCCTCCTCTCCCCTCCCCCAGTTCAAACACTAACTCAGTTCAGTATAGAAAAAAGTTGTATACCTAGATGTTATTTTTCCATAGTTCTATATAGCCATATCGTACGTTTCCTTATCCATACTCCTGTTAAATATAAGTTGTTTCTAATTTTTTGCTACGTCTCTCTTACTTGGAGAGTCTGTGTGTTGACAGAAGGAGATAGAAAATACAGTGAGGGCAGTTATGAGCTGAGCATTGTGGGAAAGCACGGGGCATGGCTGAGGATCTTCCTATAGACTCATTTATGGGGAGAGAAAAGAAATAACAGGGTAAGCAGGTTTGAGCCATGTTTTAGAGGACCTTGAATAACACAGAAGGGATTTAGTCTATTCTGTAGACTAAAGAAGGAAGCACACTTCAGGCAGATGAATCTGGCATCATTATATTTAGTTATTAATTCACGCACTGTACTGTTCAGTGAACACCTGCTATGAGCTAGCCTTTTGCTAGGTACTGAGTAGTGATTGTGAATGTCATAGGCAGGGCGGGTCTCTTTCCTAATGTTTTGTGTCGTAGGTGTGAAGAGAGTTGAAGACAGTTGGCACAGCTTTCCCCTCAGTTTGTCAAGGCTGTGTCCTTTGACCCTCAGTAACTCCATGCAGGTGCTTTCCTCAAGGAAGCTTTATGCATTGTATCTGAGCTATCATTACTTGCATAGCTGCAAAAACAAAAGCACAGAGTCATGTAATTTTCTATTTATGGTGCCCATGACAAATACAGATTGGTACAAAATATGTATTTGAGTCCAGAGATTACTCCTAATTTAAACTGTATATATGTATATACATATGTGTGTGTATATATAAAATCTACTTAAAATAGTGGTTCTCATCCCAAGAATGGATTTGAATCCCCTGGGGTTGTTTTTCAAATGATGATAAATACTCCACTTAGCTATTCTCACATTCACTCTTGGATCTCTTTAGCATGGGATACCCAAGTTTGTGAGGTGGAATTAGGCAAGAAGAAGGAGAAAGGAGGAAGTGTAACTAGAAAGTTTTCTACAAAGAATTCTAAAATAGGGAAGCCCTCAGCCAGTTGATAATTACTGTAGTGGACTAGCTATATTTCAGTCAAAGCTATTTTGGTGATAATTCTTTTCTTAAAAAATATTTATTTATTTATTTATTTGAAAGAATTACAGTGAGGCAGAGGCAGAGAGAGAGAGAAGTCTTCCATTCACTGGTTTACTCCCCAGATGGCTGCAACTGCCAAAGCCAGGACTAGGAGCTTCTTCCCAGTCTCCCACATGGGTTCAGGGACCTGAGGACTTGGGCCGTCTTCTACTGCTTTCCCAGTCCACAGCAGAGAGCTGGATCAGAAGTGGAGCAGCTGGGACTCAAACCAGCACCCATATGGGATGCTGGCACTGTAGGCGACAGCTTTACTCTCTGTGCCATAGCGCCGGCCCCTGGTGATAATTCTTAACTTTTCCCCTTCCACACTGTAATAGGTATTGGATAATTTAATTAATCAACTCAACATATATAATGTATTATAATCATTTTCCTCCCTGGATGTGTAGAGTATGGTAGAGGAAAATCTATTCATCAGAGTCTCAGGGTTTTGTAAGTGCTCCTGCCAGCTCCAGAACCTGCTGTGTTATCTGAAAATAATGCAGATTAATGTTCTGTTATTTTTTGTGGGTTGTGAGGATATATAACCTTTTTCTTAAAGACTAAAGGTAATAGGGTAATGCTCCAAAGGTGGATCTTAACAAAATTCTCCCAGTACAAATAGGCCCCAGATCTAGCCAGTTGTAGATTGTATACCTGCCAAAAGTTGGGTTTTCGAGGAAGGGTCACTGGGGAGAGAGGGATTTTTACTGAATTCTCCATTCACCTCACTTGCACCTGATTCTGATTCCTTATTGCACCCAAGGGGTTGAGTCGTGTCTCAGCTGTGGGCACTGGGGAGCAATAACAGTAAAGACATTTCTTATATGAGCTTGGCTTTTGTTCTGGAAAGGAATTAGTAGCCCAATAGAAATATAGTAAAATGGATCCTTAAAAGAATATTCATTATTCTTTAAATGGCTTGAAAAAGCTGTCCTCCCCAGTAAAGAAAAGAATAATAGCCATAGGTAGAATTACACTTAGGGAAGGGACTCACATGACTTTCCCTCACTAATGTTAATGGAGAGCTATAACCACACGCCAGTGGGAAAAACAATCTGTTGACTGCTTTCAGTCTCGATGGCTATTAAATTATGATCTTCCCAAAATGTCAAGTTATGCTCAAATAGACCAGGGGGAACTACCATCTGCTCTGAAAGCGTGCTTTCTAGTAGATTCTCCTGGGTTTCTTCTCGCCTACATATGCTCCATCAATCTGCAGAGTAATGTCTACAAGGCTGGTTCATTATCAGATAGCTTTCTGCTGTTCTTGCATCTACTACTGTTTACAAGCTCCCTGAGCTGTTAAAAAAATGAAATTTGCTATAATGCATCTGCCTTCTTTTCCTTTCCTGCTCTCTGCCTCCCTCTTTCCTTCCCTTTACTGCTTTCCTTCCTTTTAATTATACACGAAAGTTTGGCATCCTCTAAACTTGGAATGAGTTCTTATTGCAAAACTCACCTTTTTGTCTTTTTTTTTTTCTCTTTTGCTTTTTATTTGCCAGGTGATGATACATTAAAGTTGTGGGACATTCGACAATTTAATAAGCCACTTTTTTCAGCTTCAGGTCTTCCCACCATGTTTCCAATGTAAGTAGCTTATTTTAAATATTTGATGAGCATAGCAGGATGGAAAAGAGATTGTTCACCTTAACGTTAATTTGTATCATACTTTTTTTAGATCTTCTAGGAAAGGGACTCTAGGAAGTGATTAAAATCTGGGTTTTGAAGGATGTATTTTATTTCTTTTCATTTTGCCTGTTACTCAAATTATAAACATTTTTTGAAGTTAGAATGACATTTGTGTGTGTGCATGTGTGTATATTGTATACACTCATGTCTCAGTTATTCAGACTCTTCCCCTGGGTAGCTGAACAGTGTAACCTCCAATTTGTTGGCTTCTAAAGCTTTTAAAGATTTGGCTGAGACAGATGAGGTGGAACTTGACATCTAAGTCCTAATCTTGGTGCCTACAAAAATTTTTCTATTTTGTTAGAAATGAAATTTCACATCTTTTTAAAATAATGATCAACAAGGAGAACAAGAAGGTAATGGAAGTATCACATGAAGGAAGCTGTATAAAAATAGAGCATTTATTCATTAAAACAAATGAAGAGGGCCGGCGCTGTAGCTCACTAGGCTAATCCTCCGCCTGCGGCGCCAGCATACTGGGTTCTAGTCCCGGTCGGGGCACTGGATTCTGTCCTGGTTGCTCCTCTTCCAGTCCAGCTCTCTGCTGTGGCCCGGGAGTGCAGTGGAGGATGGCCCAAGTGCTTGGGCCCTGCACCCGCATGGGAGACCAGGAGAAGCACCTGATTCCTGGCTTCAGATCAGCACAGTGTGCCGGCCGCAGCAGCCACTGGGGGGTGAACCAACGGAAAAGGAAGACCTTTCTCTCTGTCTCTCTCTCACTGTCCACTCTGCCTGTCAAAAAAAAAAAAAAAAAAAAAAAGACAACAACAACAAAACACACACACACAAATGAAGAGACAAACAGACATGAATTTGTATCTCCTGAGTATTTTATAAGCTGTTGTGCTTTCTATGAGTAATGCTAACTGTACAGCCTCTTTGGGTCATGTCTTGGGTTATTCACAATCATGGGGTCTGATCTCTAATAACAAGAGTTGCTGAGTAATAGCCAACCATTGGGTTTCAGCATTCTCCCTGCTCCTTGTATCATATTCCTTGACTTGATGTAAATGAAATGATTTGGGTGTGATGTTAGTGGTGGTGGTAGTAAAAAATAGTTAAAAAAAAATGGCCAAAATAGTCCCTACTCAGTCATTAGCTATATACATCTATTTACTTGTCTATAGACACTCACAATGTCCATATTGAGTTTTCCCATAGTCTCTTTACAGTGAAAATGTTATAATATAAAGCTAAAAGCAAAGATTTTTTGAGTGAGACAGCCTAAGTTAGAGTTGTGATTGTGGTCAAGTTTTATTTAACCTCTTTGCCTCAGTTTCCCCATCAGTAAAAAGGGGATGATAATATCCACCTCTTAGGATTATTAGGAAGATTAAACAAATCAGCATAGATGCTTGACTTGTAAACCCTCTTAAGAGTTAGTTCTTAATACAGTGATGTTTACATTTCATTCATTTAAATTGCTGCATTATTGTGGGTCTCATAACCTTCTTACGAACCCTTTTTGTCCGTAGGACTGACTGCTGTTTCAGTCCAGATGATAAACTCGTAGTCACTGGTACATCTGTTCAAAGAGGATGTGGCAGTGGCAAACTTGTTTTCTTTGAGCGCAGGACTTTCCAAAAGGTGTCTGAAATGGATATCACAGATGCGGTACGTATATTCTTTCCTTTCCAGTCCTGAGAATGAAGTGAAGTTTGTATCTTAGCTGTCTTTTTGTTTTTTAAAGATTTATTTATTTATTTGAAAGTCTGAGTTACGCAGAGAGAGAAGGAGAGGCAGAGAGAGAGAGAGAGGGAAAGAGAGAGAGAGAGATTTCTTCCATCTGATGGTTTACTCCCCAAATGGCTGCAACGGTCAGAGCTGTGCTGATTGAAGCCAGGAACCAGGGGCTTCCTCTGGGTCTCCCATGCGGGTGCAGGGGCTCAAGAACTTGGGCCATCCTCCACTGCTTTCCCAGGCCATAGCAGCGAGCTGGATTGGAAGTGGAGCAGCGAGGTCTTGAACCAGCACCCATGTGGGATGCTGGCACTGCAGGCGGTAGCTTTACCTGCTATTCCACAGCACCAGCCCCCTTAGCTGTCTTTTTTAAAAAGTATATTTATTTTATTTGAAAGGCAGAGTTACAGAGTGGGGAGACAGATTGAGAGAGAGAGACCTTCCATCCACTGGTTCATTCCTGAAAGGGCAGCAACAGCTGGGCTTGGGCCATCCTAGTCTCCAGCACGGGAGCTGGATTGGAAGCAGAGCAGCTGGGACTCCAACTGGCACTCAAAATTGGATACCTGCATTGCAATGGGTGCTTAATCTGCTGTGTTGCAAGTGGCAACTTAACTCATTGCACCACAGCGCCAGCCCCCTTGTTTTGTTTCAATAGAACGTAAGCCCTGGCTCTTACATAGCACCGTGGTAGCTGGTAACTATTTTTTTTTTCTTTTTAAATTTAACACAGGAATTATCAGTACATTGCAGTTTGACTGATTTACCCTATCCCTTCTCCCTACCCAATGCTTTCTATGGGTCTGTTCTTGAGTCTAAGTTTCATATGGGCCTGGGATGTTTTCTCCCTCTCTGCCAACCCATTTGAAAGAAAAAAAGCTGACTATTGTGTAGGATACAGAAAAGGTTCCACAATGTGCATGTTTGTGAGGATCCTGGGATTGTGGACAGAAGTGAAAGGCCCCCTGAAAGTGGTGAACTTTATCGTTGTTTCCTAAACTGTGAAAACTTTGACCAAAAAAAAAAAAAAAAGGCTCAGCTTCCATTGCACTGACTTACTATAAAGTTACTTAGAAGTTTAAAATTTTTCAGATTTCATTCATTCATTCTTTGATGTCCTGAGACTAGAGCCATATCTAACACAATATAGTGAAGAGTCACAGAGGAAAATTGGATTCTTTCAAAGCATGCCTACTTAGATGATAAGGCAAAAAATGGCTAATTTTCTGAATACGAAACAAGTCAATTAATATCTGTGTAGGTTTTCTTTGGCTCCTTGTTGAACTGTTCAGTAGTATCCTGAATCTTACACAGTTTTCTTCTGTGGATTTCTCTAGTTGTTTCAGCTCTGTCTGAACAGTTGAGGCATGCTAAGTATTCTGAACAATGCAGACAATTGAACAACTGTTTTCAAATCACCAGTAAAAAGCTCTTGTCTATAATGTCATAGTGTTACTATGAAGTCCTAATTTGTATTTCCTAAATTTCAAGCCATAGTATAGTCTGAGTATTATAGAAGATGTAAAATAACAGCCGGTGCCGCAGCTCACTTGGCTAATCCTCCACCTGCGGTGCTGGCACACCGGGTTCTAGTCCCGGTTGGGGTGCTGGATTCTGTCCTGGTTGCTCCTCTTCCAGTCCAGCTCTCTGCTGTGGCCCGGGAGTGCAGTGGAGGATGGCCCAAGTGCTTGGGCCCTGCACCCCATGGGAGACCAGGAGAAGCACCTGGCTCCTGGCTTCGGATTGGCGCGGTGTGCCGGCCACAGCACGCTGGCTGTAGAGGCCATTTGGGGAGTGAACCAATGGAAAGAAGACCTTACTCTATGTCTCTCTCTCTCTCTCTCTCTCTCTCTCTCTCTCATTGTCTAACTGCTTGTCCAAAAAAAAAAAAAAAAGTAAAATAGCAATGAGACTAATTCTAGAAAAGAACTTAAACAATGAATCCTAATCTCATGACATAATCTTAAATATGCTAGCACTTACACTAACTTTTGCAGTATGTCCAAGAGCCAACTAAAATGCTAGAAGCAAAGAAAAATGAGTGAATCTATCAACTTTAATCTCAGAAAGTAAAATTATTATAGTTGGTTATTCCAGAAATAAGCTGTGTTCTGCTATGCCTCTCAATGACTATATATTTTAACATTATTCTGGATGTTGTGTTTTTAAATAGTAACTTAAGTTGAAATGTAAAAAAATTAAGGAAGATAAAAGTATGATCACACTTTTTTTAAAAAAAGATTTATTTATTTATTTATTTGAAAGGTAGAGCTACAGGGAGAAGGAGAAAGGTGGAAGAGAGAGTGAGCAAGAGTGAGAGAGTGAGAGAGTGAGCATGAGAGAGAGAGAGAGAGAGAGAGAGAGAGAGAGAGATCTTACATCTGCTGGTTCATTCTCAAATGGCTGCAATGGCCAGGGCTGGGCCAGGGCCAAGTCAGGAGCCTGGAACCCCATCTGGGTGTTCCATGTGGGTGCGGGGTCCTAAGTATTTGAGCCATCTCTGCTGCTCTCTGAGGTGCATTCGCAGGGAGCTGAACCAAAAGCACAACCTTGGGACTCAGAGCAAGTGCTCATATGTGATGACAGCGTTGCTTAACCCACTGCACCACAAACCGGCCCATGCCTGCACCTTTAAAGATATGCTAGGCTTTTGTAGTTCATAAGAGGGACATGCTATTTGCTCAGAAAATCAGTGTCTTATAATGTGATAAGTTTTTCTCTGAGTTGCTTTTCTAGCTATTTTTCTCCATAGCACCAAATTACCTCTTCATGTGTTGTACATTTGTTGTTTCTGTCTTCTTCCACCAGGATTTAAATTGCACAAAGTCAGAAACTTTGTTTCTGTGCTTTGTTCACTGTGGTATCCCCTGTGCTTAGAACATTGGCTGGCACCCAGATAATTCTTAACATTTATTGAATATTCTTAATATTTATTGAATGACTGGATAGTATACATGGGAAGTATAAGTAATGCATGTCATAGAGCATAGGTGTGTGAGGTAGGAGAGGTAGAATCCAGAGGTGGAAAGATCAACTGGCTTTATGTGCTGTAATCAGAAGGTGATTTTGTTGTATGTGTGTGTGTGTGTGTGTGTGCGTGTGTGTTTTAAAGCAAAGAATGACACATTCAGATTTAGGCCTTGAATCTTTTCATTCTAACTAAAATGTAAAGGTTAAATTCACAAAATTTGGTGAGTTGTGTATACAAAGCCTGAGGTTTGTAACTTAGGAGACTGAGTAAATGTCCCTAAGATAAGAAAATACATAAGGAAAATAAAGCAGATTTTGGAAGAAGGACAGTGCGCTGTTGTGGATGAACTTGAAGCCGTTGAAGCCCCTGGTTGAGACACTCAGCAGATGTGTAAATGAGTTTGGTGCTGAAGAAGACACAGTGTTGAGGGAAACGTAAGCTAACTAAGGAGAAGGCTCATTTCATACATAGAGTACATGTACATATTTTGTCCTGGAAAAGTCAGAAAAGAGATTTCGAGGTCCATTTAAACAGGTGGATGAAGGGAGAACATTAACTAGGGACAAAACAGCGCACCTTAAAGGGGCTTCTTAAAGTATTGATTTGGTGGAGGGCTTTGTTGTTGTAGTATCAGACGTATTGTTTCTTGTTTATTATAGTAAAATGTTCCCTTCAAAGATCTTTAAATTGTCCTTCTGCCCTATTGTGTCTAGCTCTAAGTCTTCTTGGAATGTAAGAAAATAACAAATGCATTCCTTGGAACAGATAAAGCTTGGACACTTTGCCATCACAAAGTAGAATAGTCATCATTCTTTGGAAATACCACACTCCACTGTAGTAGAGTGTTTATTGTGTTGAGTTTTAATTTGCATAAAAGGTAGCATTTCATACTCTGTCAACAGCAGGTGGTATGTTTGAGTAGGCACAGGCAATGGGGCCTTTATGTATATCCTAAATGTGTCCCTTTACCTTCATAAGGTATGATTGATTATGTTCTTCCCATGTTTTCTCCTAAAACAAAATGAATTCCTGGATAGTTATATTCCAGGACACCAAGCTCACGGAACATACAGGGAGCCAAACATTTTCAGTCAGGGGATGCTAACAATATACGCAGTTAACTCCCTGTTGACTAAAAAACTGTCCTCTAATTGTCGCAAAAGATAGCTTCTTAAAATACACCAAGTGCCTTTTTCATAGTGTTTTTGACACAGTGTTTAAAAGAAAAAAGCTTGTTTTGTTTGCATCCTCTGTATTGCCGTGTCCTGTGAAAGTGTTCCTTTCTGTACTCAATGTGCAGACTCTCACTTCTGATCTTTAGGAGATGGTGTAAGTTTCTAGCATCTACTGTTTCTGCTGTATGATGTTTGCACACATTTACAGTTCTGCTAACATTATTTTTAGATGCTTCTTTTGTAGTCCAGTCGTGTTTCCTCAAGTTAATGGCTCTCTCTTTCCTCTCATTTACCTAATTCTTTGTGAATTGAGTAGTGAACTTGATCTTATTATTTTATTTTTTAATTTTTATAAAGGCAACAAATTTCCTGTATTTCACATGTACAGTTTTACGAACATTTCTTTTTCTAAGATGAATTCCAAAATATACCTTGAATGTTGTGTGTGGAAGTTGTGCTTTCTATACATTGTGTAGAAGGCTTCTGTTACTCTGGCTTATGCACTTGTAGTAGTATATTACTATTTATACCTTTTGACCTAAGCATAGCTAATAAAGTGGTTTTGCTGGGTGTTGTTTGAGATGGTGGCCTCCTCACCTCATTTGCTTTTGGCAGTAATTTAAAAGAAACAGCACACATTCCTTTGGGTAAAGCAGAAAGAGTGAAAAGGAAATAAGCCAGAAAGTGCACACCCAAGCCTGAGGTTTTTCTCTAATTTGTGTGTGTGATTGGGTATTTTGGTGAGGAGTCTGCTTTTGTAAATACACTGAGTGAACAGAATGAGATTG